AAAAAAAAAAAAAAGTTTTGGTGCAATAGTACATCTGGATTAGAGATTACAGAGACAAAATCACTAACCCCATCACATGTGCTCTCATGTGTAGGAAGAGGCAAGGACCAGAGTCATTCATCTTTTAAGGAATATAGTGACTCAGGCAAGAGACATGAGGAGCCACGTGCTCTATCCTATGTGGTCTTCAAAGCCTGTCTTTGGAGAACTGCACGTTATCACAGAGTCCAGGGCTTCTTTTCTTTTGTTGCTTATTTTTTATTTCTTTGCTTTTTTTGTTGTTGTTGTTGAGACAGAGTCCCACCCTATGCCCCTGAGAAGAGTGTAGTGGTGTGGTAGCTCCCTGCAACCTCAGACTCAGGTTGTGGGCATCCCACTGCCTCAGCCTCTGGAAGGCTGGGATTATAGACACTCGCTGCAGCGCCCGGCTGGGTTTTTCCATTTTTTTCATGAGTTGGGGTCTCACTCTCACTCAGGCGAGTCTCAAACTCCTGAGCTCAAGCAATTCTCCCTTCTCAGCTTCCCACAGTGCTGGGATTACAGGCGTGAGCCACCGCGCCTGGCAGAATCCAGGGCTTTATGACATTATGCTGGCAAGGGGAAATGAGCAGGCATGGCTTCCTATGTTTGTTACTTTGTCTTACGGTTGTTAAATGGCTTTGGTCAGGTCACTTCCTACTCTGGACCAAAGTTAGATTTATCTCTATAATAAAAGACTAGGCGATGTGCCTAACCCTGTGAGCCATTACTTGTCTGCCTTGGTCTGAAAGTCTCCTTCCCCAGCTCTTACAGTACTTTCACTGTGCAGTGAAATCAATTCAGCGCAACCCTCTCCCCAAAGTCTTCTCCCCTGTGGGATGACCTATAGGTGCTGAGAGTCAGGCCTCCCTTCTGTGGTTTAGCAGGAAAAACCAAGGCAAAGAAAAGTAGGAGCTGCTTAAGAAAGGGCTAAAAGGCTGGGCACAGTGGCTCATGCCTATAATTCTAGCACTATGGAAGGTCAAAAGCTCGAGTCCAGGAATTCAAGACCAGCCTGAGCTACCAGTAGGCTGAGTATGATGGCTCACACCTGTAATCCTAGCACTCTGGGAGGCCAAGGCAGGTGGATTGCCTGAGTTCACACAGGTTCAAGACCAGCCTGAGCTATAACAAGACCTCATCTCTAAAAAATAGCCAGGTATTGTGCTGGGTGCCTATAGTCCCAGCTACTTAGGAGACTGAGGGAATAGAATTGCTTAAGCCCAAAAGTTTGAGGTTGCTGTGAGCTGTGACGCCACAGCACTTAATCAAGAGTGACAAAGTGAGACTCTGTCTCCAAAAAAAAAAACACCAAAAACCAGCCTGAGCGACATAATGAGACCCTAATCTGTACAAAAAATGAAAAAGTTATCTGGGTGTGGTGGTGCACACCTGTAATCCCAGCTACTGGGAAGGCTGAGGCCTGAGGATCACTTGTGCCTAGGCCCCTCAGCTCAGCTCCTAGCCCCTTTTTTTCTTTTTTGGTCTTACAGCAGCCTCAGACTTCTAGGCTAGAGACTCTAGTCCTGGAAAAGGACTCAGAGATCATCTCAGTTGCCTTCTGTATTTATAGATGGGGAAGCAAAGTCTAAAGAGCAAAGCTATTCACCTCTGTCTCACATAGAGATTCTTATACCCTCTCCCTTATTGACAACAGAAGGGCCTTTGCTAATGGACCTCTAATTGGGCCCTCTTCCCAGGTTCTGGACCTTTAGTTCCCATCTCATAGTCACTTTCCCAGCCAGCTGAACAGCAAGGTACCATCTTAGTCTCCCAGGCTCTTGGCTTCTTTCCAATAACCTGTGCCTCGGAATGGGAAAGGAAGGGCAGAGGTGAGGGAGCTCACAGGTGTGGCAGGCCTTGTGCTCAGGGGCCATGCCCCTGGCCCTGGTTCTGCCCTTGTAGATACTCTCTGAAGGGCTGGTGTCTTATGAGGCTTCTCATTCCTTCTCCTTCCCCTCCCTGGCTCCCGGCTTAGATTTGTGACACAGACTATATCCAGTACCCGAACTACTGTTCCTTCAAAAGCCAGCAGTGTCTGATGAGGAACCGGAATAGGAAGGTGAGCCCCCCATCCCAGCCCCTTCTTCTCCCACCAGCCTCTCCATCAGTTGCCATAGGTTGGTATACTCTGAGGGCCCCCTCCTGACTCCCCCACTGTGCTAGCAACAGGGGGCTCAGAATACACCATTACCATGATGGTATGGGGCATGTAGAGCATTTCCCTACCTGCATCTCTGGGGCAGAAGCCCAGAATGCTCCCCTCCGCTCCTCCAAGCCTGTAGCCAGCAAGGCCCTCCAAGGTGGGTGAGGGTATACCACACATAAGAGGGGAAGTCCTTGAGAACACCCTAGGAAGAGCCCTTGGCTGGGCTGGAGGTTGGATACTTGAGGTCTCAGCCTTTCCTCCCGAACTTACCAAGTAGCCTAGGATAAGGCTCTTCCCCATCTGAGCCTCAGCCTCCCCATTTCTGAAAGAAGGGGGCTGGGCTGCTTGGTGACATCTAAGATTCCTCTTCCCTCTGCTGCCCTGGGTCCCTGCTTGCCCAACTTATGCTCTTGTGGGGCTTCTGACTTCTCCCCACCTCCCCACTTGTGGTGCCTGGTCTATAACACAAAACCATGTGCTGAATCCCCATGTAGGTGTCCCGCATGAGGTGTCTGCAGAACGAGACTTACAGTGTGTTGACCGCTAGCAAAAGTGAGGACGTCGTCCTGAGATGGAGCCAGGAATTTAGTACCTTGACCCTGGGCCAGTTCGGATGAGCTAGAGTCCATTCTGTCCCCACCCCAGCCCGACCTCTCCACATTCTCCATTGCTGTTAGCTCCTAACTGTCAGTTTGCTTCCAGTCTGCCCCAGGTCTTTACCTGGCCCCAACTCTCATTTTCCTAGGGTTGGGGCAACAGCCCCATAAAGCGCCATCATGAGAGCTCCACCCTTCTTATAAGATGTCTTTACATAAAGTATTTATTTTCAGTCTGCATGGCTTATTTTGGTTATGATACCCATCTTCAGGGCACGGTGGCTCACACCTGTAATCCTAGCACTCTGGGAGACCAAGGCAGGTGGATTGCCTGAGCTCAGGAGTTGGAGACCAGCCTGAGCAAGAGTGAGACCCCTGTCTCTAAAACATAGCTGGGCATTGTGGCAGGTGCTTGTAGTCCCAGCTACTTGGGAAGCTGAGGTAGGAGAATCTCTTGCGCCAAAGAGTTTGAGGTTGCTGTGAGCTATGACACCACAGCACTCTAGCAAGGGTGACAAAGTGAGTCTCAAAAAAAAAAAAAAATGAGGCTCAGTGCCCGTAGCACAGATGTTATGGTGCTGGCCACATGCACCGAGGCTAGTGGGTTTGAACTCAGCCCTGGCCAGCTAACCAACAATGATAACTGCAACAAAAAAATAGCTGGAGGGCGGTGCCTGTGGCTCAAAAGAGTAGGGCACCAGCCCCATATGCCAGAGGTGGCATGTTCAAACCTAGCCCCGGCCAAAAAAAGAAAAAAAAAAAATAGCTGGGCCTTGTTGCGAGCTCCTATAGTCCCAGCTACTTGGGAGGCTGAGGCAAAGGAATTGCTTAAGTCCAGGAGTTTAAGGTTGCAGTGAGCTGTGATGCCACGGCACTCTACCAAGGGCGACACAGTGAGACTCTGTCTCCAAAAAAAAAATGATACCCATCCTCAGCTCTGCCACACTGCCACATGGGATCAATCCCCAACCCCCCTGGTTGTATGTTCCATGTGCAGGTGAGAGACGGTCATGGGAATGCTGCTCAGGGAAGCAACAATTTTCCAGGAGAAGACCCAAGAACTCAGGGAGGCCAAAGAATGGTGATGGCTTGAGCCCAGGAGTTTGAAACCAGCTTAGGCAACATAGTGAGACCCTGTCCCTACCAAAAAAATTTCTTAGATTAGCCAGGCATGGTGGTGTCCATCTGTAGTCCCAACTACTCAGGAAGATGAGGCAGGAGGATCACTTGAACCCAGGAACTCAAGATCAGCCTGGGCAACATAGCAAGACCCCCTCACTACAAAAAATTTAAAAATTAGTATGGTGATGCACACCTATAGTCCCAGCTACTCGGGAGGCTGAGGTGGGAGAATCACTTGAGCCCAGGATTGAGGCTACAGCAAGCTATAATCATGCCACTGCACTCTAGCCTTGGTGATAGTGAGACCATATCTCCAAAAACCCTAAAACTCAGAGAGGTGGACTAAAGAAGGACATGACTGGGGTCTTGGATGATGTAGCCCATGAGAGTATATGTGTCTTCATTTCTGAAGCCCTGGGCTCTGTGATCTCAGATGTGAGTGTAGGATTGTCCCTTTATAGAATAAAGGCCAGAGACTGAGATTTTGTCTGGGAGGACCAATCCCATGGAATAGGGAATAGCTTGCACTTCACCAGGAGGGAGAAAACCAGAAAGTACAGACTAGAGCTCATGAAAACCCTTGATTTGACTACAGGCATTTTCTGGGTGATCTGAATGTTGAAGTGGTTGCATCCTGACAACACAGGTTGGGGTGGTGACTCCAGCATTGACCTTTGATAACTTGAAATCTTCCAAAGTGTGTTTTGCGGACACAGGAGAGTCCCTCCTCCTCCTATGGAGTCAGAGTAATTAACATCAGTTAAAAAAATTATTATGAAAATGTTCAAACACACACAAAAATAGAATTATATAACATACCTCCATGTACCTTTCACCTAGCTTCCTTTATTAACACATGGCCTATGGTTCTATAGCATTTTAACAGCTTTACAAAGTTCTATAATAGAGAAACTTATTTAAACTACTGTTTCCCGAACTCATTTCAGCACAATACCTTTTTCACCTACTACCTCCAAACTCAGACTAGTTTTTGTTTGTTGAGCTTGAACAACATGCCCAGCCCCGTGCTTAGTTGGTGCATACAGGAACAAGGGGCCTGGGGGAGATAGACATAAGCAAAGGGAACCATGCAGCCTGGTAACTGCTGTGAGGGAGGGGCTGGCACAAGGCTGGCATGCAAAGAGACTGTGGCAGGGCCTGGTACAAGCCATGAGTGGCATGGGATAAACCACCTATAGACCCAAGAGTGGAAGACAGATACCTGGGAGCAATTGGTGAGGAAGAAGGGAGGCTAGTGGGTTAGTCATCTGGCATCAGCAGGTAGGTGTGCCAGTGACCAATGACAGTTCCCGGAAACTGTGGGAGTGTGTGAGGGATGGGTGGGGGGAGCTATTAGTCGGCAAGAGTCAGGTTGGATTAAGTCCTTACGTGCTGGAGTTTCTTCTCTGGCCAGTCTGAGAAGGCCTCCCAGGGCAATGCTTCCTCTTCTCCCTGTCCTTAGCCCATGTGGGGTTGGGTGAGTGCAAGGAGCAGGGAGGGATGTGCTAAGATCTGCTGAGGTGGGTGTGTCCCCACCTGGCCCAGGAGCAGGTCCTACCAGCTCAGAGGAAGGAAGCCGGCTTGGGGCAGACAGAGCAGCAGGGAGCACAGGTATGGGGGTGTCTAAGCAGGACTGTTTGTACAGGGGACACAGGGGGCAGCACTGCTCCTGTGGAAAGTGGGGGGGAAGTGGGAGGTTGGGTGGGGATGGGGAGGAGGGGGTGCTGGGGCCCTGGAAAACCTTTCTGAATAGAGTAAAAAGAGACTGCCTCAGGCAGACCTTTTCAAAAAGAGCTGAGGAGGCAGATAACATGTCTGATACACCCCTGCATGCCCCTCTCTGAAGCTTAAAGATCCCCTCTGTGACACCTCACAGAGGCTGTGTCTCCCCACCCCACTCTAGGCTCCCACTATTCTGAATCCTGGGTCTCCCAAGGAGGATCCTTGGGGACTGTTTCCACCCTTTTCCCATTCCCAGTTATCGCCCCCACTCATCCCCAGGGCCAGGCCCACTGCATATGAAGATGAGCTAATGTGATTAAACTTGCTGATAGTTCACTGGCACAGATATACTCCCATTGTCATCCTTCCCAAATAGCAAAGGTGTACATTATGGGGTCTTCAGGAGGCACTGCCTTAACCCCAAAACAGATCTATATAAAGGAGCTGTGATAGAATGTGGCTTGAGAGAGGCATGAAGGGATGGAATCTCAGGTATTTGGTACAGGTAGGGGAAGTATTTGGGGGCCAGCAGGTCTTTATGACACCTTTGCATCACACCAAGAGGGTAGCTGCCTACCTATTACCTGTGTTTAGGAGGCCTCCATGACAAGAAGGGGACGTCTGCCAGATTATATCTCCTGTATAGAGGATAAGCCCTGAGGGGAGATAGAGACAGAGATTTAGGGGACCACCTCTGGCCACCCAGTGGCATGAGAACCAAGTTCCATGGGTTTGTTGGACCTCATTGGCTCTTGCTGCCCCGCCACCCCCAGTGCATACCCCACCAGCACACAGACCTTTCTTTCTTTCTTTTTTATTGTTTTTTTTTTTGAGACAGAGCCTCAAGCTGTCCCCCTGGGTATAGTGCTGTGGCATCACAGCTCACAGCAACATCCAACTCCTGGGCTCAAGTGAGTTTCCTGCCTCAGCCTCCCAAGTAGTTGGGACCACAAGCGCCCGCCACAATGCCGGGCTATTTTTTTGGTTGCAGCCGTCATTGTTGTCTTGGTGGGCCCGGGCTGGAGTCGAACTGCCACCTTAGGTGTATGTGGTTGGCGCCTTAGCCACTTGAGCCACAGGTGCCGAGCCACACAGACCTTTCTTGTCCAGCTGTTGAAAAATAGCTCAGGCATAGCAGACAGCAGAAAGGGTGGGGGCTGAAGCCAGTGCACACTAAGTTCAAGTGAGACCAAGGAGGCCGACTGTCTCCAGAAGACGTTTTGTCATTATTTTTCTTTTTCTCTTTACTTTCTTTCTTTCTTTCTTTTTTTTCTGAGACCAAGTCTCACTATGTTGCCCTCAGTAGAGTGCTGCAGCATCACAACTCATGGCAAAACTCTTAGGCTTAAAAGATTCTCTTGCCTTGGCCTCCCAAGTTGCTGGGACTACAGGCACCCACCACAATGCCTGCCTATTTTTTTGTT